CTGTGGCAATCGCTTAGAAGCCTGAGCTTGCATACCATGCACTTCCCACTGGATATTATTGTCTAACAATATGGCCTGATTTTATTAATCATGTCAAAAAATTGACTGACGTCAGTGGTTTGCTAATGTCTCACACCGCACACTAGAATGGCTTACTCCATTCTCTCACCTTGGCCATTCATGAAGTGGGAATGGATATTGTTAGAAAACTTCCTACTGCTTCATGATAATGAGTTTCATGCTAGTCGACACAGACTATTTCATGAACTGGATTAAAACTGAGGCATTCTCGCAGGTACATGATCTTGAAGTTATCCAATTTATTTGAAAGTATGAAATCTACAGTTTGGAGTTCCGAAAGAAAGTCGTTGAAAATGGATTTCATTTTATAAGTATTGGATTTCAAATTTTTTGCAAAGAATGGAACATCAATATGAACTTCTCTAGTCCGTAGTACTTCCAAGCTAATGGCTAGTCCAAATCTTCCATAAAAAAATATCTCAAAGACATTGAAGGAACGACTCGCTGAAACCAAGGAAAAGTGGGCACATTAGCTATTAAAGCCCTTTGATCTTATTGCACCATCGTTCAAACACCGACTGACGGAACCTCACTCTTTAGCTTACTGCATGGAAAATAGTCATACCACTGGAAACATGCATACCAACCTTCTGGTACGGATGGACAACCTATGAGTAAGTGTTATGAAGAGTATTATGGAACACTAAAGAGGCTAGTACAGGTAAGCTTGCTGCAAATTGGAAAGGACCATACCTGATCATGAAAATGGTCGAGAAATGAGCCTGCAAGTTACGCACTCCAAATAGCACAGTTATCAACAACAACTGGAATGACATCCATCTCGCAAATATTATTTTCGAGTCTTCTAAAATCTTCTCAATTCTTGAATTTTCATTTTCGTTCGAAATCCATATTGACTTAGGCATCAAAGAGCCAACGGTAGAAATGCGATTGGTGGTCCTAACCTCTATCTACTTTCAAGAAAAATGGTAGACAAAGTTTTAGATGGTCCGAACGAAGCCGAATTGAGCATGCTTAGACGGTCCGAACGAAGCCAAATTGAGCATGCTCAGTTTGCTAACCTTTCATCGTGAAACATCATATTTCTTTCCTTACTTATTTCAAAATTTTCTTTCTAATTATTTATAACCATCAGGATCAACATTAACTTAAGTCTTAGAGAGTCGATGTCAGAAATGCCATCGATGGCTCTAACTTGTCTTTATTCTCGAGAGATTCACCAATTGGAACAAAATACCACTTGGGGGATGAAGATCCTACATAGATACCAAAAAGAATTAGACACTGACCGATATCACTCCAGTTTTCATCAAGCAATCGGGATGAAGATGATTACATGATTGCTATCAAGCTGTTTGGACAAAATTAGCCCTATTGCAACCATCGAACCAATCCAAATGAAGTCTCAGTATCTTTCGAACTAGGGCAGCGTTAGAGCAAGCCAATGACATTAGCCACCATATCGAATATACCAGACAAATCAAATCCTTTGGAAAAATATGTTTACGAGTTTACTTCATATTTGAAGGACAAATTGAGAAGTGTTTCAATAAGTTCAATTTTTGTTTATATATTGTTTATAATTTCAAGGGCTAGAACAACCACAATAAGTTCACATATCATATAATTTTGAAATAAGTTCGAATACACACTGATAGATTTTAAAAATACAAAGAGGAAGATGAAGTGAAAATTATTCAGTTCATATATATATATTTTGCTAATGATTGACTGATTTGCTATATATTACAAAAGGAATTCAATCACATTTCAATCATCAACTATTCTACCAACTACCCTTACCTTGTGGCAGATTGACCATGCTTTGATAAGCAACAAAAAAATGACGATACATAAGCTAATATAATACTTGCACTATTACAAAGTGAAGTGACAACAAAAGTGACACATGACTATCAACACTCCTCCTTGACACTTTTGTTGGAAACACCAAGACATTTCCTTAGTGTTTCAAACCTTTCTTTGGACAAACTCTTGGTTAGAATATCAGCAAGTTGAAGTTCAGATTTGCAGTGCATCATTTTTACTTCAAGGTTCTCTTGAGCCTCTCTAATAGCATGATACTTTATTTTGATGTGTTTTGTCCTTCCACAGAAAATCGGATTTTTAACCATTGCAACTGCTGATTGATTGTCGCAAAAATTCAAAGTAGCTTTAGCTTGTTTAAAGTCCGAATCCTCAAGAACTTTTCTTAACTAGATAGCCTGATTTGCAGCCTCAGATGCAGCTACATATTCTGCCTCTGTTGTAGATTGAGCCACAATTTTTTTTGTTTGTTTGATGGAGTTCCAGCAAATTGGACTTGATCCTAGGTAGAATACATACCCTGAGGTACTCTTCATATCATCATATGATCCAGCCCAATCACTATCGGTATAACCTGACAAAACAAAATTCTCAGCACTCTTAAACCAGATTCCAAGTTCTTTTGTTCCTCTGATATATCGAGAACCCGTTTGACAGCCTGGAAGTGTAACTCAGTTGCCTCTTGTCTGAATCTAGAGAGCATGTTAGCTGCAAATGTAAGGTCTGATCTTGTGAGGGTTAAATACAAAAGACACCCTACCAGGCTCCTATACACTTTTTCATCAATCGTCTTGCTGCCATCTTCTTTCATCAGTTTCAGGTTTTGGATTAAGGGTGTGCTTGCTGGTTTACAATTTTCCATGCCGAACTTCTTCAGAATTTCTTCAGCATATTTCCCTTGACTTACAAAAATTCCATCACTTGTTTATTTTATTTCCATTCCAAGGAAGTAACTCATCATTCCCAAATCTGTCATCTCAAAAGCCCCTTTCATTTCTTCTTTCAACCTGTCAACCGAGCTTTGATTCCTTCCAATTACCAGCAGATCATCAACATATAGGGAAATAACAATAACATCTTCCTCCATTAGCTTGACATAGAGTGTTTGCTCATTTATGCTCTTGACAAAACCAAGGCAGCAAAGATGTTCATCCATTCGGCTGTACCAGGCCCTTGGTGCATGTTTTAACCCATACAAAGCTTTCTTAAATAGATAAACTTTCCCTTCATTTCCAACAGCAATAAAACCATCTGATTGTTCAATATATATCTCTTCATCTTGCCATCCATTTAAGAAAGCTGATTTAACATCCAAATGATGAATACTCCAGCCTCTTTGTGCAGCTATAGCCAGAAGGAGTCTGATTGTTTCATACCTTGCTACTGGTGCAAAGGTATCATTGTAATCGACACCATATTGCTGAGCATAACCCTTAACAACTAGCCTTGCTTTGAACTTGTTAACTGAACCATTTGAGTTTAATTTGGTCTTGAACACCCACTTAACACCTATTACATTTTTGTGCTTTGGCCTATCAACCAACAGCCAAGTCTCATTCTTCTCAATCATTCCTATTTTATCCTTCATTGCAGCCTAGCCAATTAGAAGAATTTACAGCCTCACTGAAGTTTGAAGGTTCAAGCTTGGCTGCATTACATCTTGCATAAATATCAGCAAGAGGTCTGGTTCTCAGCACCTCATTTTCTGAGTCAGATTCAGCACCTGGTTCAGCTACTGGTTCGGCCTCTAGTTCAACTTCTGGTTCAGTTTCTGGTTCTACTTCAATTTGTTCAACATCATTGATAAGAATATCATCATTTTCCTGAGCCACAGGCATTGGAGCTTGAGGGTTATCAACCTTATTTTCTTTCCAATTCTAGGATGAACTTTCATCAACTTTGATGTCTCTGCTGGATAACACTTTCCTGGTTTGTGGATTGAATACCCTGTACCCTTTAGCATTATCACAATAACCAACCAGGATACCTACTTCAGCCTTAGGACTCAATTTATCCCTCTTGACTCTAGGTATACGAGTATAGCAAATGTTCCCAAATACCTTCAAGTGATTGACATTTGGTTTGACTCCATTCCAGCCTTCATAGGGAGTCAATTTCTTCAGTGCTTTTGTTGGCAACCTGTTCAGCAAATACACTGCTGTGTTTACTGCCTCTGCCCAGAATTCATGAGGTATGTTTTTCTCAAGCATCAAGCACCTAGCCATCTCCATTAGGGTTCTATTCTTTCTTTTACATACTCCATTCTGCTGGGAAGAATAAGGGATGGTCAGTTGGTGCTTGATCCCTACTTCTTCACAAAATCTGTCAAATTGCTCACACTTATATTTAGTCCCATTATAAGTTCTTATTGCCTTTATCTTGCTGTCACGTTCATTTTCCACCTGTTTTTTGAATTTCTGGAATACAGTGGCTACATCAGACTTTATTTTCAGAAAGAACACCCAAGTCATCCTAGTTAAATCATCAATAAACAGCACAAAGTATCGACTACCATTAGGTGTTTGAGTTCTCATTGGACCACACACATTTGAGTGGACTAATTCCAATTTAATTGAAGCTCTTCTGGTTTGGTTTTTAGGAAACGGCATCCTGGTAAGCTTTCCCAATTGACATACTTCACAAACACAACCTTCATCACCTATATTAGGCAGACTTTCAACCAATTTTTGTTGGTTCAATTGTTTAAGTGAAGTGTAATTAACATGTCCATAACATTTATGCCACAATATAGACTCTATTTCAGTGCTGATGTATGCAAGAGTTGTCACATTATTCCAATCCAGAGGGAAGCTTCTTTGCTTCATTTGTACTGTCAGTAACTCATTCCCAGTGGAATCAAATATAGTGCAACCAAAGTTTTTAAATATCAGTGTGTGGTTTCTTTCAATTAACTGACCCACACTTATCAAATTTTGATCAATGTCAGGTACATGTAAAACATCAGAAACATGCTTGATGCCTGATGGAGTGTGTACAACAATCGCTCCAATCCCCTCAACTTTTACATGTTCTTCATTGCCCACTTTCACTCTTGATTTGTATGCACGGTTTAATTCAACGAAAATGCTTGAATTAGAAACCATATGGTGTGTGCATCCACTATCCAATAGTCATGTTTTATCATTGCTACAGGCTAGGAAATTGTTGGCTGTAAAAAGGTGCTCCTCCTGAGGTTGAAGCTGGTCATCTGCCAACTGAGCCTGCTGCTTTTCTTGCCTTTCTTTTTGAGTCTTGCACACTTTTTGAACATGACCAAATTGCTTACAATTTCGACATTGGACTCCTGGCCTATACCAGCACCACTTAGGTTAGTGACCTGACTTCTTGCAATGGAGACATGGTGAATATGTACTGGTCTTCTCAACAAACTTACTGCCTTCTCCCTTTTTTCTTTCTGGTCCTGGTTTCTTCACCCCAGAGTTTGCTGGTGCTTTGTACTTCCCCTTAGCAAACAAAGCCCCTTCAACCTGCTCTTCTTGCCTTAACAGCCTTCTTTGTTCAGTGGCATGAAGTGCATTAACTAGCTTAGACAAGGTGATGGTAGAAAGATCTCTTGAATCCTCAAGTGATGATATCTTAGCCTCAAACTTTTCTGGTAGACTTATCAAGACCTTTTCAACAATTCTTCTATCTGGTAAATCATCCCCCAACAACCTGATTTTGTTAACAACCTTCATCAGTCGATCAGAAAATTCCTTCACAGTTTTTGCCTCCTTCATCTTCAAACTTTCATATTCTCTCCTCAAGTTTAGAACTTGCATTTGTCTAGTCCTAGCATTTCCCCTGAACTCCTCTTGCAGCCTGTCCCAAGCTTTCTTAGCCATTTCACAGGTGATTATCCTAGTGAAAATTGCATCAGACACGACAGATTGAATGCAGGAGAGTGCCTTGAACTTTTTTGCAGCTTCCTCACTATGTTGCTTGAGTTGAGCTATGGTTGGATTGACTCTAAGTGGAGGTGGTTCCATCCCTGTCTCAGCGATTTCCCACAGGTCGTAGGCTTTGAGATAGGCCTTCATTTTTGCAGCCTAGAAATCATAGTTTTCTCCTGTGAAAACTGATGGTAATGGTGCTGAAAAACCGATTGAAGTCATTCCTTCCTACTTTGAATAATCACCCGACTGAATATATGGTTTTGTTGGAGGTTACCTTACTTGTTTTCTCTCTTTTCTACCAGATTTTGCTTCTAAGATCTCTAGGAGCTCTGATACCACTGATAGATTTTAAAAATACAAAGAGGAAGATGAAGTGAAAATTATTCAGTTCATATATATATTTTGCTAATTATCGACTGATTTGCTATATATTACAAAAGGATTTCAATCACATTTCAATCACCAACTATTCTGCCAACTACCCTTACCTTGTGGCAGATTGACCATGCTTTGATAAGCAACAAAAAAATGACCATACATAAGCTAATATAATACTTACACTATTACAAAGTGAAGTGACAACAAAAGTGACACATGACTATCAACGCACACATTCAAATACATACTACATAAAACAGGTCTAAATGCCTAATATATAAGTTCAAAAGGAAATATTAACAGACTAGCACACTTGGAAAAATGTGCTACCATAGGAGTTTATGCTTGTCCATTCGTTAGGATCGACAACACCATCACCTCTTTGGACACAACCATATCTTCGGGTTGTCCTACCAACATATTGTGCCCACCAGGTATTTAGCACAACTCAGCATACTCAGTAATTTCTTTGTCCACATTCTAGTTACCATTTTTACCTTTCTTATAATCATTCATATGGAAGGTTTTGGTGGCTATCTCAATCTCTAATTGGAAATCTTAGAACAATCTTCGAAAGAAACAATTTGAGCCCCCAAAGATTCTTTCAAGCTTGCAAGCTCCTCCTTCAAAACAAGTTTTTATCAAGCATCCTAGCTAACTCATCTATTGCCTTTTTAGCAACCAAGTACGGCTTTTTTCCCACTTTCAAATTTTTTACTTCTCCACATAGTAAGGCATTTACTTCTTCTAGAATTATACCTTTCTGGCCTACCTAATGACTTCATTCTTCTGAAAAATAGCACTTTGCAATCCCTTGAGTCAATAAAGACAAGTAAGGTTCGATTAAGCAAGTTATCCATGATGAGGAGAATGTAAAATATTGTACTTCGAAAATCTGTGCCTTGAAAAATAAGCATGATTGAATCATCATCCACCAGTGATGCTATGGACGACCACGCTCAGTGGCGGATCTAGGATATTGAGTCAGCTAGGGCGGCCGATGACCTTTAACGGTTGCAATAGTAAAATTGTTTATTAATATTTAATTAAATAATATTAAAAAAATTCTATCAATATATAAATACACTGAAATATAAAAGTCATATACATTTAATAATATAATCCAATACAATCCAAAACAATGAGAAAAAAATACATTTCACAATCATACATGTATGATCAAGTTTCAAAATTTTTACAAACTTAAGCGAGATAAGATGAAATTTATATATAAAATATGATTAAACGGTAAAGACAAGCTTCGAGCTTAGGCAAAGGTTATGCAAAATTCTGAAAGTAATGATTTTTAGAATTTAAATAATTTTTAATCTAAAAAAAATGTTTTTGAACTTTTAAAAGAATAAAAAGCAATTATAAATTGTCCAAATTTAAATTTTATAAAATAAATTGATAAAACCTAACAATAAAAGTTTATAAATTATGAAGTAATAATTTGAGTCAATAAATTTTTAAAGAAATTATTTTGAAAATGAAAATTAATAATATATGATTGTTTAGTCATTATTTATTGTATTAAAAATTTAAACAAAAAAGTGGGAGTACATGGAGTTGATCCCCATATATCTTGGTGAATGTTAGCACAATTATTAATTAATATTAGTCATTATTTACAGTTTTAAAAATTAAAAGGCAGACTGCTGTTTAGAGGATTCGAACCTATGCTTTATTGCATGGAAAAGTGATGTCTGCCCAACTGCTCTCCATGCCACTTTGTTGAGCCTACACACAACATACATATACATATATATTTAACAAACATTTTTCATTAAACTTTCTTCTCGACGGATCCAGCACGGGCGGCCACGGCGGCTCGTCAAGTGTTGGATCCGCCCCTAACCACGCTTACAAGCCATTGGGAAAAAAGCATTTGGACACTCGATTTGACACAGAAGATCATTAGATAAGTTTGGACTGTCAATTAGCCCCATAGAAGGAGATTCGTTCTTAGACTACTATTCTTTCGCCTTTTTTTCTCTCTCCAAAGCATCGATCAAAGATCTAATCACCATTGACATGACTTAATCTTCAATCTCACGATCAGTTGGATTAAGCGGACGACATAAAGGTATGTTACTATGTTAATTTCTAAACCTCTCTTTACCATTATAATAGGGACTAGATGTCTTGGAAAATCGAAAGGAATACCTCTTGGTTTTACTAAAATATGATCCCACAAGTTGCTTAAAGGTGGGATCTCTAGGGACAAGAGTAATGACAATGCCTTTGATGTTTGGGCATACGATCTTTCATGAATAAGTCTTTGACGGGTCGCCTGTTAACACAAAGACATACAAAAAATGGAATAAGAACCTCGAATCTGTAAAACATATTGCAAAAAATTTAATCTATGAAACTCATCACATTACCATGCTGAAGGAAAACAACAATCTTCCGACCAAATCAAATCGCCTGATGTAAGGAAATAAGACCATTTTCAGTCTCTGTCTTCGAAGAAAGTCCCATTATCAACCGATTTGTATTTTTCCTCATGTTTAAGGAAAATCGACATTTCTCACTGTCATGCTTCTTTATAAAGTAACCGTATAATATCTCTAACATGCCAAATTTCAAATTATGCCATTCGGTCAGGACTTGGGCATGAGTTAGCTTGGTGCAATTTTAAATACTCCAACACCATCTTAACCATTTGAGAAATCGAGAACCAGAAGCCATCTTTAAATGGCAACTCGTAGAAGAACTTCTAACTTAAGACATCCCATGACACTCTTTCGTGCAGTCTTGGTAGACAGAGTTGAATATATACTAGAATACCATAGCCATCTCGAGTTCCTGTCAAGTCAATTTCCATCAGTTTACTTGGTATGTTCTTAGTCAACATAATATCAATCAAGCCTCGGACGACTCTATTAAAAAACTATGTATAGGATTGCCATCATGAAGATTCGGACCATCTAGATCACTATCAATGTAAATACATTTTAGATCAACCTCATGATAAGAGCATATCCCAGGATTGCCTATAAACTCTGCTAGTGTTGATTCATCTAGATGGTTTAGGCTTGTGTAGTCACTTAGCCAATAGTTGTTGTCTGGATGGATAGATCTACTCACGCTTCCATTTGACCAAAAAATGGATAGAATTCCATATGGAACATTAATAAAATCACCTCAATTCATCGTTTATTAGAACGAATATTCACTAGTGGCTTGCTTTCATCATGGATCAAATATCAAGAAACCTAAAATCAAAACTAATGCATCCACTCATGAATTTGGAAAAAAATATTTGAAGAATATTGAAGATCATTCAAAAAATAAAGTAAAAGTTACAAGAAAGGAAAGAGACTCACTAAAATCTCTAAACTTCCTTGACATCGCAGCCATATGAGAAGTGAAAATGAAGCCTTTAAATTGTATAAATAGATGCGCCAAACAACGTGAAGAAATGACTCCAAAATTTGTCCAAAATCATCAATTATATGTGTACACTCAACCATTTGGATGAACGCTTTTAGCGATCGACTAATATTCCTAGCGAGATACACCGCAAAATCTAGATGGGTCAGTAATTTTGCAACAAAAAAAAAAAAAAGAAATTTACCATTTGATAGATTTTCCAAGTATTGATAGGATGTGCATGCACCAAGCAACATGTATGCTATTTTGTGACATTTGTTGCCCCCAGGGCACATCTCCAAGTGGTAAAAGGGGAGGATGGAGAAATCTAGCTTTGCTTGAGGCTGCCGCGTCAAGGGTTTGAATCCTGAAATATGGATTTGGCTCTTAGGTTAGTGTAAGTGTACAAGTAGCCTTCCACCCTGTACCCTTGGAAGCATAACCTGCGATTTACCTCCCTCACGATGCTCCAGGGCAGGGGCGGTGGGGAACTCTTAAGGTTGGGGTTCAACCTTTTTTATTTAGTGACATTTGTTGCCCATGGTAGAATTTACTGTGTGGCAGCAAAAATTGCTCTACTTTTGAGTCATACATCAATCTTCCAATTATACCTTATGACTTGAGCCAAAATGACAAAGCTCAATAAGTCGTGAGGTACCAAAAATTGAATGTCTCGACAAGCCCTATAGACCAAAAAGCCAAACCATGCGGTGCCGTAAACTACACTTGGCAAGCCGTATAGTGATCTCCTAACCACTGCACGGCTTGAAGCAATTTCCAAAAATTGCTCAGCTTGACAAGTCGTGTAGTAATTTCTCATGAAATCTTTAAAATGATCAAACGATATCTACCCATGACCACAACAAATCTTACAACCACCCTAAACTATGCTGTTAGATGGTCCGACCTATGATCAAGTCACCCTAGGGATGTAAACGAACCGAACCGAACTGATCCGGCTCGTAAGCCGAAATTTTAGGCTCGGGCTTGGATCGAGTAAAATGATTGAGCTTTTTTTTGGGCTTGAGGCTCGGCCAAAAAAAAAATAGGCTCAACCCGAGCTTTTAGCTTGGCCCTTTCCAAGCCGAGTCAGGCAGGCTCGATCTTTTGCTGAATTTTTTTTCCTCCTATAAACATGGCAGCAACCTATTGTCTTAAATTTAAGGCAACAGGTTGCTGCCAAACATGGTAGCAACCAGTCGCCTTTAAAATATTTTTTTTGTATTTTTTTTATGAATATAGGCTCGTAAGCCCGAGCCACACGAGCTGGCTCGGGCTTTGCTCGACACCCAAAAATGAGGCTCGACCCGAGCCTTGGCTCGATTTTTTCGAGCCTCGAGCCAGGTGGGCTAGGACTTTTTTCGAGTCGAGTCACAAGCTGTCCAAGC